CACGTTCTTCTTCCGTCTTTGGTGACTGTTCTTTTGAGAGTCTAAAATGAACACCCAAAGGTGTACTTACTGGTTTAGCATCTTGCATGTTGAACCTGGAGATTACTTTGTTGATGTACTCAGCCTGTGATAACATCAAAGTCCCTGACTTTGTGTCTCTCTTGATCCTCATCCCAAGAATCTTCTTTGCAGCACCCAGATCTTTCATTACAAATTGCTTCGACAATTTTTGCTTCAAGTTTATAATCTCTTGCATGTCTGAACCTGCAACGAGCATGTCATCAACGTACAACAATAAAATAATGAAGCTGTTGTCGAACTTCTTGATGTAACAACAATGATCTTCTTGGCATCTGGTAAAACCACTGCTACTCATGAAACTATCGAACTTCTTGTACCACTGTCTAGGAGCTTGTTTTAAACCATACAAGCTCTTCTTCAACTTGCATACCAGGTTTTTCTTACCTGCCTCTATGAAGCCTTCTGGCTGCCTCTTATAAATTTCTTCCTCCAAATCACCATGAAGGAAAGATGTCTTTACATCTAACTGGTCAAGATGTAAATTCTCTGCAGCTACAATTTTCAACACCAGTTTGATTGTAGACAGTTTTACAACTGGAGAGAAAATTTCATTGTAGTCAATACATTCTTTTTGCTGAAAGCCTTTGAAAACTAATCTTGCTTTGTAGCGTTTGCTCCCATCGTGCTCTTCTTTGATCCTGTAAATCCACTTGTTATGAAGCGCTTTCTTGCCTGGTGGTAATTCAGTTAATTCCCATGTCTGATTTGACATAAGCGAGTCCATCTCATCTTTCATGGAAGACTCCCACTTGACTGAATCCTCCACTTGCATTACTTCGTCATAGCACTCTGGTTCACCATTGTCAGTCAGCAACAAGTAGTGCAAAGAAGGAGAATACCGTTGGGTTGGTTTAGGAATTCTGGAGGAGCGTCTCAGTTCTGGTGTGCATGGTTCTTCTTGAACTGCTTCAGGATTGATCTGAACATCATTTCTAGAAATCTCCTCGAACTCAGCAAATTCCTTTGTTTCAGCTTTGGTATTGGAGCTACTTGATTCTACAGTTGACCTGTCTTTGTACATCATATTCTCATTGAAAATGACATCTCTGCTTCTGATGATCTTTCGATTTTCGTAGTCCCAAAATCGGTAACCAAACTCATCACCGCCATAACCAACAAAAGCACATTTGTTGGACTTAGCATCAAGTTTACTTCTTTCAGCAGAGTCTATGTGTACATAAGAAATACAACCAAACACTCTTAAGTGTGAAAGGTTTATTTCTTTTTTGCTCCAAACTTCCTCTGGTATTCTGCCATACAAAGGAACCGAGGGCCCACAGTTGATCAAGTAAGATGCAGTGTTGATTGCTTCAGCCCATAGAAATTTGGGCAATCCGGCATGTATCCTCATGTTTCTGGCACGTTCATTCACAATTCTGTTCATGCGCTCTGCTACGCCATTCTACTGCGGTGTTATGGGAACTGTTATCTCCATCTTGATCCCATTGTTTGCACAGAAATCTCTGAATCTACGATTTCTGTACTCTCCTCCATTATCAGACCTCAACTGCTTGACTTTCAAACCAGTCTCATTTTCCACCATGGCCTTCCATTTTCTGAAGGTATCAAAGACTTCTGATTTCTTCTTCAGAAAATAAACCCCCACATTTCTTGTAGAATCATCGATGAAGGTGACATAATATAATGAGCCTACAAGAGATGGAACTGGAGATGGTCCCCATACATCAGTATGAACCAACTCTAACTTTTCAGCCTTGGGTGTCTTACCAATCTTTGCAAAACTAACTTTCTTTTGTTTGCCAAAGATGCAATCCTCGCATAGTCCGACATCTACATTCTTTAGATCCGGCAGCTTCCCATTTGACAAAAGTGTCTTCATCCCTTTCTCGCTCATATGGCCAAGCCTTTGGTGCCATAGGTTTGATTTTCCATCAGCATCTGCCACTGCAATGATATTCTCTAAATTTAAGGTTATATAGAGAGTACCAGTTTTCTTACCACTAGCAATGACGAGTGCTCCTTTGGTAATCTTTCATTCACAGCCTGAAAAGGTTATGCTAAATCCTTCACCATCAAGTTGTCCTACATAAATCAAATTTCTTTTGAGGCCAGGAATATGTCTCACTCCTTTCAGCATTCAGGTGGTCTGGTTTGGCAACTTTAATCGGATGTCTCATTTTCCCACGATCTTCAAGGTTTCATCATCGGCTAGATGAACCTTCCCAAAATCACCACTGACATAATTCTCCATGATTTCTCGGCATGGGGTGGAGTGGAAAGATGCCCCTGAATCCAAGATCCATGATTCAATCGGACTATTGACGGTTAGAATCATGACATCACCTGTCTTCTCTATCACGTTGGCAGAATCCTGTGCGCTGGTATTTTTCTTCGGTGCTCGACAATCTCTTTTAAAATGACCCTTATTGCCTCAGTTATAACAGGTAAAATCTTTCTTTCCCGTTCTTGATTTTCCCGTTCTGGATTTCGATCTGCCTCGGTTTGAATTTCTTTATGAAGTTCTCCCTCTAGACTCCGTGTGCAAGGCTGAGGAGATTGATGCTTCACCCGATTCTCTTCGTCGAATTTCTTCACTCAATACCAAATCCCGAACATCGTCGAATTTTAATTTACTGTTTCCCGACGAGCTGCTGACTGCTGTAACAGTAGCATTCCAACTGTCTAGTAGAGATGATAAGAGAATTAAAGCTCTAACTTCATCATCAAATTCAATTTCCACGGAACTCAACTGGGTTGTGATTGTGTTGAGCTCATTTAGGTGATGAGCCACTGATGCCCCTTCCGCCATCCACAAATTGAATAATCGCCTCATCAAATGAACTTTGTTTGAGGCTGATGGCTTCTCATACATACTGGAAAGAGCCGCCATAAGACCCGCTGTGGTCTTTTCCTTTGCTATGTTGAAAGCAACATTTTGGAACAACGTCAGTCGGATAACTCCGAGGGCTTGTTTGTCGAGAAGAACTCAGTCTTCATTCTTCATGCCCTCTGGTTGTTTTCTTGAGAGAGGTTGATATAGATTTTTCTGGTACAGAAAATCTTCAATCTGCATCTTCCAAAAGCCAAAGTCTGCACCATCGAACTTTTCAATTTTCACATTCCCTTCGTCTGTAGCCATCGCTCCCACTCGAATCTGGCTTCTTTGGATCGTTTCTGACAATTTGTGCGAACCACCGTGTATTATAACACATCCGTCAACAAATTCGTATCGCCGATAAAATTTGTACTATTCACGAAATTCACTATTCACGTGAATAGTAATGAATAGTAACCTCACAAAAAATTGACAAAATTCACAACCAAAAGCTCTGATACCAGTTGTTGGGAAATAAACCGAGTACAAATAATTTCTCTATAACCAGATTAGTGAGAATGCGAAATAAAAGCGAAAAATAATACCCGAAATTGATAACGGAGTTCAGCCAATTGTGCTTACGTCTCCGGACTGTTGCAGATCTTTTACTAAGAGAGAAAATTTACAGGTGTTTACAAAACACTCACTACTCACAAGAAAGCTCTCTAGTATTGGGAGAAAGAAATGATTTTTGGGATGGTTTTGAAGCTAAATGAGCTAGGGTATTTATAGTTGAAACTTAAGGACTTAATCATGTAATTACCCTAAAGTCTAGTGACTAATTATGATTATCCCATTACAATATTTCAACAAACATCTACCAAACTTTGAAAAAACCATTTTTCAAAGAAACATTTACCAAACTTTGAAAACCATTTTCAAAGAAATTTACCAAACTTTGAAAACCATTTTTCAAAGTCGGTTGCCAAACTTTGAACTTTTAATTTGGTGCATTGTTTGACTTACAACAGGTATCCCTTCATCATTATAATCAACGAACAGTCGGTCCACCATCATCCGACTAGCCAGCAGGTAGAAATAGACGAGAACGACGGAAATGGAGTGCTTTAGCCGATCGGGAATCGTGATTTCATCGGCACGGATATCGCATTTGGGATAGAAATGGACAATATGGTTATAGAGTGAGGGAGTTAATTGATCGAGGAACGACAACCGGTGGTGATGAGGTTGGTCAGTCGTTGGAGATGATGGCTTCACCATCTATTTGGAAGCCACTTCGATGTGAAGCTGCATTTTATACGTAAAAGCCAATGAAACCCTGTAAATGAGGCTTTTGTGTTATCCGTTGGAAGGTGGAAGCACACTTCATATATAGGATGACTTGGTATAAAATATGAAGATTAAATTATTCTATACGATCTTTAAATGATACTTATTTATTTATTTAATAGCTTCAAACGTTTTTAGACGTTTTTAATGATGTTTATAATGTCTAAAAGCTTTAAATTTTTGCAATAGCTTTTGCAAAATTATTATAACGCCTTTAAACGTTTTGTGAGTAATGTTATGTTTGAATAATGCATACTATTAATGCATATATAATAATGCTTAAATTAAAAGAAATGCAACAAGAAATAACTTACCTCGGTGGTCACAAGTTCAAACACTAGCAATTGTAGCAAGGTGATTAAGCGTTCATTGTCAAATGATTGACAGTATTTAGAACAGATACTACTTTGTAATCACCTTAGCATGTCATTTAAATGGCGACCCTCCTCACCCAATTAAAACTATGGGTAGGAGAATATCAATATGTACGTTTTTAGTTAATGTGTATTAATTTGACTTATAAAAATTTTCTATACTATATGGATATATTATAAGTTAAGATAAATTACTAGTAAAAAGATTAAGACTATGGGTAAGAGAGTAGTAAGTTTAAAATGTGTACGCTTAATAATAATTTAAATTAAATTAAAATTAATTTTATATATGATTTTATCATTAAATATTGGTTATTATAAAGCTAATCTTTGAATGTGTCTTTAGCACAAATATTACCTCCTATAATCATCATTAATAAAAAATACATAAATAAAAATAAGTTTAAATGGGTCATATGTTCACTTATAATCACCATAGCTATAAACATTAATTCATGAACAGCTGAAAATGATAGATACATGCAAACCTGAAGTGAAAGCCATGCTTCAGCAAACACAAAGAAGTGCAGCACACAGTCTAAAGCTTTGACACAATCAAACAAACACATACATGCAAGAAGTAGTTAATTACAAGATTTTTTTAGCATCAACGTAAGCAAGCAATTCCTCATCGGAATCAAGTTTCGCCATCTCTTCATGGTGTAGGGTAACCCAAGCCTCTATTCCATCACCAGTTTTGGTGTCCAAGAAAACTGCTGTGTTCTTGATTTGTCGATCACCGGAAGCCACCCAAACTGGTTTCCCCCAACCGAAATCAGCTTCGTATAGAGGAAACCTGCATAAACTGGTCACACCAAAGGGAACAATCTCGTCTTTCCCATAAGTTTCTGCGATCTCTCTGAATCTTTCAAAGTGATTATACCCATCTTGGAGCTTCTTCACGTACTCACTGTTCACTGCTTTAATGGAGTCCCTCATCTGGGAGGCGATGTTGTTCTCCATGGATGGGAATGTCAGTGCAACGCTGTGTAGGTTTCCGTATGAAGATTCGGGCAACGGGGGTTCCATCCTTGGACGTATGTTTACCATGTGAGTAATAAAGAAGAGCTTATCGGACGTTGATTTTGCACCGACGGCAGTAAACAAACGTTCCCATATGAACACTGATAAGGCCTCAACGCGAGTTGGGCGTATCTGGTTACTATTCTCTGCATATTTCCTTCTGATTTCCTCCACTTTGGTGGCTCCAAACACAAATCTCTTGGTTACAAGTTGGTCCTTTTCCAATTGACTGATTGTCGGTGAGAATCCCGGAAGTTCTCGTGGTGGGAAAAGCAAGGCCGATTCGAAGTTCGGTGCGTTGAATTTCGTCTCCCCTCGAGCAATGGCCGCCCACGTTTTCACAAACGAGAAGAACGAGAGGGCGTCTCCGATTTTGTGAGAAACACACACACCGATCCCTATCCCACCACAGTCGAAAACATTGAATTGGATTCCGAGGAGAAGTTCTTTGACGCCATGGATTCCGAAAGGAAGCAACTTGTTGAGTTCTTTGGGAACTGGATCGTTCAGAACATCTGAGAGTTTGCACTTCACTCGAGCTTCCACAAAAGGTATCCCTTCATCATTACAATCGACGGACAGTTGGTCCTCCATCATCCGACCAGCCAGTGGGTAGAAATAGACAAGAGCGTCTGAAATGGAGTGCTTTAGCCGATCGGTAATCTTGATTTTATTGGTATCGATATCGCATACTCTGGGATAGAAATAGACCAAATGGTTAAAGAGTGAGGGATTTAATTGATCGAGGAACGACAACCGGTAGTGGTGAGGTTGGCCGGCGGTCGGAGATGATGGCTTCACCATCTCTTTGGAAATCACTTCGATATTGTCAAGCTTCATGTTTTACGTAGAAGCCGATGAAACCCCGTAAATGAGGCTTTTGTGTTATCCATCGGCAGCTGGAAGTACACTTCATATAGGATGACTTGGTAGGCGGCTAGATATATAACCAACCATGAATTATTTATTAAAAATTTTACGTGCATAACCTATGATTATAAAATATAAAATATGATGATTAAACTACTAAAATATTAATTATATAAAAATTTATTAAAATTTAAAATACTTTTTTAGAGTATAAATATATATTTCCTATAAAATTTTATTTAAATTCAAATTAAAATGAAGTGAGAAAAGGACCTTAACCTTTATCAATTTAATAAAAAAATATAAGTTCATTTTTGGGTTAGGTTTAGTTTGACTAACTGATTTCGTGAAATCGAACACGACGGAGAAAAATGGATAATAAGCAAATGTTAAATGGTTTTTGGCTTCACGTTTCATTGGTCTCCTCTTGTCTTGTATATAGTTGAACATGACATATCTATTTTTAATTTCTTTTGTGTATTCAAATGGTTATATTCTTAAAAAATAAATAAATAATATTTATGACTCGAATCTTTATTCTTTATTCTTCGTCCACATTAGAAGAATAAATCTTCGACCATCGTTATAAATCATCATTTTGTTCGTCAATAATGTGTTGGTCTATTAAGATGAGACACTAGATTTTTTAAATAAAGTTAGGGATTTGAATCTTTACGAATATAAATGAAATAAACTGGGTATGAAAGATCATTCTTGCCTCTGCAGTATCAAATTCAAATGAGTTGATTAATAAATCAGATACATATGATTATATAAAAAAAATCATTTTATTCATGGTACATCAATATTAGGACGATGAAAGTAAGTGGACACACTCTTTGACGGGAACCACTAGTTCTAAGTTCGAAGAGTGCAAGTCTAATCCTAAGCAAGGTGATGGTACCGAAAGACATAGCTATGGTAAGACTCGATTTTGATTCAAGGACTCCCCTACAACCGGCAACTTTCTATTTGACAGTCCCAACAACATTAAAACTTCGATTGACCGACCATCATAGATGATCATCTCGAAACTAGACTGTTCTACTGAAAAAAAATCGAGGCACGAAAAACACAATGTAAATTTAAATAACCTCATCCTACACTACAGCAAAATTGTTCTACAGCGGCGTTTTTAGCGTCGTTTTAGGAGTAAACGCCACTAATTTTAAACATATAGCGGTGTTTACATAGCAAACGCCACAAAATGGTAACTTTAGCAGCGTTTTTATAAAAACGCCACAATAGGTTCATCGATAATGGCGTTTTTTCAACAAGCGCCGCAAAAGAGTAGTACTTTAGTGGCGTTTTTATACAACGCCGCTAAAGACTCGTAATTTAGTGGCATTTTTATACAAACGCCGCTATAGAATTGTACTTTAGTGGCGTTTTTATACAAACGCCGTTATACACATGTACTATAGTGGCGTTTGTGTTTACAAACGCCGCTAAAGACTCATAATTTAGTGGCATTTTTATACAAACACAGCTAAAGACTCGTACTTTATTGACATTTTTTATACAAACGCCGCTAAAGACTCGTACTTTAGTGGCGTTTTTATTCAAACGCCGCTATACACTTGTACTATAGTGGCGTTTGTGTTTACAAACGCCGCAAGTTTACAAATTTTAAGTGTCACGCCCTTTAAACTACACTGCTTCTGCTTTACCAGATTTCTGCTGTTTAAAGGCTACATGCTTCAACGAGTTTGATGGATTTTAAGTTAAAAACAAACCCTAACCCTAACGACTATGGTAAAAAGGCCCAAATTGTTGATCTTGGAAACGGAAGCAATGTAGTTTACGTTCCCAAGTTTTTAGCATACGATGTCTCATGGGAATTCTTCAGTTACCTCGACAATCACATTCCTTGGACCATACCCACCATTCACGTCTTTGGTCGATCTTGCATGCAGGTTCTCTTTTCCCCCCTTATAATTCCCTGTATTTTACTCGAAACTTTGATTTATGGGTTGTGGAAAGAAGCAATTTTTATATCTTCTGTTTGCCACTAATCCAGGATCACTCTTTTAGCGTATTTGAAACTATGGGCAGCTTGTTTAGGATATAATCATGAACTGGTATCAATTGAAGATTCGAGATTAAGTCCATTGCCACTCTATCCATGGTTTAATCGACACACGATTTGAATGTTTAACTTGGTTAATGGTTTCTTAGTTTGGTATTTGTTTTGTAGTGGCAGTTGAAGAGTAATGTGGTATGCACTTTTTTGTGTTGGTTATAACCCTGTTTTGCCTTCTGTTGCATTTCTCTATGTTCCGTTGAAATTGTTTGCTTTTCGACAAATCACCGGTTTGGTATCTTCCCTTTTGATCTATTCTATACTCGATGATGGTCCCTGCAATTTCCAATTTTGTTGTTAGTGATGGATTTATAAACAATATGATATTGATTTGCCTTGGAGAAAAAACATGTGTTTTAAGCAGGAATGGTTGATAATGCTACCTTTTGACATGGAGAAAAATAATCTGATATGGTCACCACAATTTTTTATTTTGTTGTAGTGATGGACATATAAATGAACATATATCGATTTGTCTTAGATAAAAAAGCATGTTTTTTAAGCATGAATGGTTGGTGATTCTACCTTTTGACAATCATAGATCACTGCAATTTTCAATTTTGTTGTATTGAATTACTGATGGATATATAAACAAACCGATATCGATTTGCCTTTGATAAAAAGCATGTTTTTTTAAGTTTGAATGGTTGTTGGTGTTACTTCTTTAATTTCAGTTCCACTAATCATTAATTATGCATTTGCCTATGTTTGCAGCCAAGGGACACATGTTATGTAGCTAGTGCTGGATTGCCCAACTTGATTTACAGTGGATATCAGCCTCGTGCTTATTCTTGGGATGAATTCCCCCCGCTTAAGGACATCTTGGATGCGGTTAGTAGGCAGTCACCAGTGTTTACTATGCCTTTCTCTGGTTCCATCTAATATGGTTGCTTATTTCTTTAAGGTCCATAAAATTCTTCCCGGGAGCATGTTTAATAGTTTGCTTTTGAATCGGTACAAAGGGGGTAATGACTACATAGGCTGGCATAGTGATGATGAGAAGCTCTATGGCGCCATTTTTCATTTTTTTCCCTTTCAAGCATTTTTCAATCCCGCCGTTTACCCAAACCTATCTTCTTCACTACCAAACCCCAAACCCATATGTTTCACTACCATTTTTATGCTATCTCTGATTTAGATTCCCTTATCCACATTTTTAAAAGAACTCATCGCTGGAATTGAAGAGCAAGGAATCTGAAGTTTAACTACCGAGATCCAAATGATGGATCTAAACCTGAATCAACTAGAATCGGGTTGGGAGGAATTGAGGAAAGAAGCTCGAAAGATCGAAGGCGATCTCGATGTCAAACTATCTTCTTATGCTAAGCTAGGTGCTAGGTTCAATCCAGGAGGGTTGCTCGTTTTCCTCCTTTTTATAGTTATTTTCTGGAATGTGTGTTGCTTTTTTCCCCTAATAGATTACTGAAATTAGGAACAAATTTGTTGAAGAACTGAACATATTCTAAAATATTTTGATACTTTTCTAGGAGCTGCGAAGCTCAAACTCAGATATAATATATTTTCTTTGTTATCTCTTTGTTTTCTGTATATGTACAGTCCTTATGGGTTTGAAGTAATGGTATAATTCTTCGTTTTAAGGAATTCAGAAGAATCAAGCAATGAGGGAACATGCTTGTTAGCACAGTGTTCGGGGACTTAGAGGACTTGTCTTGAGACCAAATATTCTTGCTTGTTGTAGTACAATGGTTCTACCCTTATTTATATTTTTCAACTGTATTTAGCAGTGCTAATTTGACATTTCTTATTCATTCACTTGCCCCATTTTTTGCAATAGGCACTTGATGATAATGTCAAGTTAAAGCTCTCTCCGTTTTGCCATGTTTCGGTAATGAAACATGAATTCTATTTGTCTGCTTCTCTTCCATCTCCTAAATCAGTAACTACTGTTATTAAGAAATATGACTTCTTTCTAGGCCGAAAATACTGTCACTCTCTATGACGTTCCAAATATTTGGCACATTCCTTTACTACTAAGAGTAAGTAGTTCACTTTTTGAGTTCTTTTTATCGTTTGAAATTCTTATAGTACAAAGTTATAACTGGAAATATATGTTCCTTGATTCATTTGTTTATTTTACTGATCATGAATAGGATCAAAATGCACATGAAGCAATCTTGAAATGATTGAACCTACTAGGGTTTTCCCTATGAACTTTGAGGGACTTAGACATGCATGCTTTCTTGATCCAAAATTATAAGATTTCATTGCTTATCCCTCTTTTGTATTTCCTTAACTTTTCTAAGAATACAAACTTGCTCAGATTCTTGGGGTAAGAATTCTAACTTCTAAAAGTAAGATGGCAACCAATACATTATTAAATTTTTTCTTTATGATGACATTTTTTACATTCTTATGTAGAATATATTTTAGTTTTCATGGTTCCTGACTTCTTGTTTTTGTTGTTTGTTGCAACATCTTTTTTCAGTTCTCAATCACTCACATGTATGTTATGAATGCAAGTTCTGATGGTTGTTTCCTTCTCTTCTTAGTCTCATCTAAATTATTGTAATTGCAGTAATCTTGAAGAACAAACTTCAACAAAAAGCGGCTAGTTCAATAGACTGGCACAGCGTTTCCCATTTGTTTTTAATCTATTGAGGAGAGATCATTCACTGTCAAATGATACTTTCAAATAAGATGTCAAGACGATGAATATGACAAATTCCAATAAAGTGGGAAACAAAGTAGCTTTAGAAGGCATATCTGGAGGTTATGATGATGACGCTAGTGAAATTGAGGATGTATCGAACAACAAATCCATGTATATCTATACTTTGAGGTTCAGTTGTAACTCATTTGTACTTTAATGTCTTTTAAGGTTCTCTCTCCATAAAAAAAACTTTAATTTATTTTGATGTTAAGAATTTTTCTTTATGTTTTTTGTCTTAATTAAAATGTATGGTTGTTGTTAATTAGATAAAGCTAGATATAAATTTTGGTGATGTA